TTAGGGTTGGTTTAGGGTTTCTTTTGTGGTGGGTTTTAGGGTTTAGGGTTGGTATAGGGTTTCTTTTGTGGTGAGCTTCAGGGTTTAGGGTTGGTTGAAGGTTTCTTTTGTGGTGGGCTTTAGGGTTTAGGGTTGGTTTAGGGCTTCTTTGGTGGTGGGCTTTAGGGTTTAGGGTTGGTGTAGGGTTTCTTCTGCGGTGGGCTTTAGGGTTTAGGGTTGGTTTAGGGTTTCTTTGGTGGTGGGCTTTAGGGTTTAGGGTTGGTTTAGGGTTTCTTTTGCGGTGGGCTTTAGGGTTTAGGGTTTAGGGTTGGTTTAGGGTTTCTTTTGCGGTGGGCTTTAGGGTTGAGGGTTTAGGGTTGGTTTTGGGTTTCTTTTGTGGTGGGCTTCAGGGTTTAGGGTTGGTTCAGGGTTTCTTTGGTGGTGGGCTTTAGGATTTAGGGTTGAAAAGTTGAGGGTTTAGGGTTGTGGGGGCGTTCTCTGTAAGGTCTCTATGAGGGTTCCGTTTGGGGTTTACGGGTTCAGGGCCTTCTGGAAGGGCTAGACAAGTTTCAAGGTCTCTGGATGCGCTCTGACAGGGTTTCGGTGTTTGGAGGTTTCGGTGTGTATAGGGATTTGGAACTAGCTTGCGAAGCTGAGGAGCTATCAGTAAACCTCAAAAGCTTCGAGGTTTTGGAGCTTGCCCCGACACCCATTCTCACACCGGAACACAAAAAAAAACCCTAAACCCTAAAGCCCCTAAACACCAGCATCAGAAGCCCCTAAACCCTAAACCCTAAACCCTAAAGCCCGTAAACACATCTAAACACCAGCATCAGAAAACGGGAGCAGGCTTGGACCCTGCCATCGAAACAAAAAAAGCGTAGAAAACCCTACGACAGCGTAGCCTCAATCCCACACGGCCCTACACTGGGTTTAGGGTTTAGGGTTTCCTACACCCCTTATGAAACCCGGCAACACCCTGTAGAGAGTTTTACAAGCCATAGCATAGGGGCCTTCATCATTTGAATAGGGTTTTCGGTGTATCTATACTGTAACCATAACAAGGAACCCCCAAAAATAGTATTGGTCACTATTTAAGCCCCTAATTGTAGAGCCCTTACAGTATCCCTTATAGTATCCCTTTTAAGGAACACTTTGGTGATTATTTAGGCTCCTACATTAGAGCAGTGCATGGAGATCCCACTCCTCCAGGCGACCGACCAAGACCATGGTCCGGGAGCGAAGGAGTCTCGCCGACCATCCGCGGAAGAAGAGCTAAGGAGTTTAGGGTTTGGGGTTTAGGGTTTAGGGTTAGGGGTTTCCCTCGGGGTTTGGGGCTTGGGGGGTTGCAGACTCGACTTACGGGTTGGAGTTTGGGAGTGCCAGTTTAGGATTTCGGGCTTTGGGTCTGGATTTTCAGGGTTGCAAAGCTTAATTGCTTAGGGCTTAAAAGAGTCTTAGGCTTTGGGGATAGACTTCCCGAATCCTCGAGTTTTGCTTCTTTGAGCGGAACGCTGCGAAGAGGAGTCGATCGGACAAGTTTCCGGTGGTTTCAGATTCATTTAGAGTCTAAGGATTTGGCAGGAAGGAAGGTCTGTCTGAAGAGGAGCACAGGAAAAAGCATGTTCAAGCGGCGTGGGCAGCAGAGACTAGATATTGCGGCAACCCTAAAACCCTAAACCCCGAAACCCCTAAACCCTAAACCCCTAAACCCAAACTCCTAAACCCTAAACCGTATAAACACCAGACCCTCGGTTCCCAGGATTTGCACCCTGGAGCCATCGAGCGTAAAATAATCCTCAAGCCCCGAAGCCTGGACCCAAAAAGTTTGGGAAACCCCTGGAGCTTGAACCCCAAAACCGCAAAAACTTGACCTTCAATGCCTTACTACAAACCCATCAAGTCTTCTAACCAGGCAACGGAAGGCATCCAGTACCCAAACCCTAAATCCCCAAACCCTAAACCCCTAAACCCTAAATCCCTGCGCATGAACCCCTATCTACATCCTGAAACCCCACATGCAAGCATCCTGAAACACCCCCGCGGGGAGGCTAATGTAGGGGCCTTGATAATTAGAATAGGGTTCTGGGGTATATCATACTATAATTATAAGAAAAGCCCCCTAAAATACTGTTAGGCAACCTAACTATTTAGGCTGCTACATTTTCTCATTATACTATAATTGTAATGAGGAACCCCTAGAATACCGTAGGCACCTATTGAGGCTTCTAAAAATATGCTAGCTCATTATACTATAGTTATAATAAGGAACCCCCAAAATACTGTAGGCACCTATTGAGGCTTCTACACTGGCTCCCTAAACCCTAAACCCTAAACCTTAAACCCTAAACCCTAAACCGTGAGTCACTAGCTCCTTCATCTCCACCGCGCGCTGGTGCTCCGAAATCGGGGGGTCCCTTCCCGCACCCTGCGGGCTGTTCAGGCTTGGGGCTTCGGGGGCTTTGGAGTTTAGGGTTTCAGGGGGTTTAGGGTTTAGGGTTTAGGCTTCAGGGGCTTTGGAGTTTAGGGTTTAAGGTTCAGGAAGCACTTATTGCGTAGGGTTTAGGGTGTAAGGTTTAGGGTGTAAGGTTCACAGTGTAGGGTTTCTCTGCAGATTTTCCCAGGACATTTGCGGGGTCTTGAGGTATTTTGGGGTGCGGGGGGAAACTTGGAGGACTAGGGACTTAATTGCTTGGCGCATGGTCAGTTCATGCTTCCTTGGCAAACAGGCTTCATCATGGTAGTTTCGGGTTTGGGATTTTGTGAAATCAACAGACGGAGGCTTGTTGTTACTACTAGCTTTGATAGACTTGATTTGGCTGCTAACTGCAGCTGCTCCCTTTGTGCTTGATGTGCCAACGCTTAAAAGTTGCAAAGAGGTTTCGAGAACTCCCATGGGTCACAGGACGGCTTTCGGAAGGCGTTTGCGTGAGTGACAGCCGTTTAGCTCAACGGGGTGTGTATTCGGTACTGCTCGGTTTGGTCTACGAAGCTGCTCGCAAATTCTCTAGCACTGTCGGTCAATCCATCATATCATGCGCTGTTCCCCTGCTTTGCGTATTGCTGACATGCCTTCTTCGTCCTTCACTCTCGCCCTTTCCTTGCTACCTTTCATCTGCGAAAAGGGTCCACGGGGCCAACCAACACCGATTTAAAGCCGCTGTCTTTATCAGTGTAGACTTGAAGGGAAGCCTTCGATTCAAACTATCTCGAGTCGCCTACTATAAGGGCCTTAATAGTCGGAAAAGGGCTTCGGGGTACCTTATAGTTACATTGAGGAACCCGACGAACTAGTGTTTGTAATTATTCCGGCCCCTACATTACATGCACCCAGCACCACCTTCTCGCAAGCAAGCTTGCAAAACCTACGAACCTCATCTCCGCATCCTCGAAAACGATCAGAAGAGAGCAAAACCCCCCAAACATAAGCATCGCAGCCCCAAGACCCCAAAACCGTGTCGATAATCTTACCTTTGCCCTGTGCCCCAGGCCTCACGAGAGTTCATGCCAGTGCGGAAACGGGGCTTCTCTGCGGCCTCCGGTCTTCGGCAGTCACAAACGGCTTTAAACGGCCGTCGTCACAGAAGTCGTCGTCGTAACATTTTTTTACGAGTCATAGTCACCACACCATTATGACCGTGGATGAAAGCATCATCATCGCGATACTAAAAGCTGTGATGTTGATGTGCATGTGTAACCATTACTGAAGCACTAACACAAGAAGAAGAACAGAAAAATCGTTGCTGCTGCTGTTGTTGTCGACTTCCCCCTTAAATTGCGCGTCAGACCAAAGAAGCCCTCGACAAATTGAACAGTCTTAATAATCCGTCCCCGAATCTTGGGCAACTCCTTTGCATGCCTTGTAAAACCGTCTCAAGTCCCGATATGTCCCTATACACCTCCCTGGAACCCTGGTGAAGTCTGCAACCCATATGAACCCTGTAAAGCCATGGACAACTCAATCAAACCTGTAGGCAATGAAAACATATCTAACATTGGGCTTAGTCTATGTAGGGGCCTTAATAATTAGAATAGAGTTTTGGGGTATATCGGTATAATACTATACTATAATTACAATAAGGAACTCCCAAAATAGCATAGGTGATTGAATCCCGCATTGCCTCTCCACGGATCTCGGCATCCTACGCACTGGCTCTAGGAATAAGAGGCTCTGTCGGGCTGTGTAAGCTTCTATGTGGTATCAATGCCACCATGATGATAAGGGCTTGTGTCACGGTCTATAAGGACTGATGTACGGGTTACAGTACTGCAGGGGTTACTAGTACGGGTTCGTAAAGGATTCTGGGCTGGAGTGCCTAGGGCGTTCTGCTTAACGTTTCCTGTGCAGGTTGCCATGGGGATCAAGACTTCTACGAGGACTCGGAAGTGGTCTGGGTTTATGGCTTAGTGGTGTAAGGCTTAGTGGCTTAGGGCTTGGCGGGTTAGGGCTTTGGGATTTAGACGGGTGTGGTTACTGTTGAGCGTTTGGTAGCACTAGAAGTCCTAGGGCTACTGGCAATACGGGCAATACTGGCAGTACTGATACTTTCAGTTGTACTGCTAGACTCGATGTTTATTCGTCGTCGTTCCCGTAGGCATACTCGTAGCCGTAGACGTTGTCTCTGCAGTAGCAGTAGTAGCGGTCGTCGTCCTCCTCCTCGTCCTCGTCCCAGCATATGAACCCACCCCCAACTTAAAACATAATCCTGAAAGCCTATCTCTTAACTGCCCCAAGCCTGAGCCCCAAATCCCAACCCCGTACACGCCGAATCCTAGCTCTAAAGTCTGCAGGCTACAAAAACACACATTCCAAAACCTTGATTCCAAAGTGCCTCAGGGCGACTCAGAACCTTTCAAGAATCCAAGAAGGTTCGCTAACAAAATACACTATAGCTTAAGATAGGGTTTAGGGTTTAGGGTTTACTCTTGCAAAGGTATGCATCTGTGCAGGTACAAGACCCGAGTGTTGTCCTGGAGACGACTGAGCGTTTGAAGACGTCGCGTCTTCATCTCCTTCCGCAGTGCTCAAGCTTTGGTTAGGGCTTTGGGGAAAAGAGCTCCGAGTTCCGATGGATTCAGGCGTTTAGAGTTTGAGTTTCGGGGGATGCTCGTTCAACTACCCTCTTCCACGCCGAGCATGCTCCGGCGGTATGGTCTACTAAAGGATACTCTTGGTAGTTGTTCGGACCTTGTGCTGACCTAAACCCTAACCCTAGCCCTAAACCCTAAACCATATTGAAGCCCTACTTGTCACCCTGATGGACAAGCGCACGCGATCCTCCAATCCATGGCCTCATGACGCACGTCCCCCAAACCCTGACACCAAACACAAAGGAATGCCAGAGCTTCGGATTTAGGGCGTCTAAAAACCCAGTTCAGGTCTCATGAACTTGAGCCAGTCGAAAAAACCACAGCCCCGAACCCTAACAGCCTTTGGAAGGGCCTTGACAATGAAAATATGGTTTTGTGATATATTAAGAGACTCTAGCGTAGAGGGACCAAATGGGCGTCACTACTATTAAACCCCTAAAACCCTAAACCTGGAACACTCGTAGATCACCGGGGGCGAGTTTAATAGATACGTAAACGTATATGTCTATGTACATGTACATGTATATGTATATGTACATGTATCTGTGTGCGTGTGTGTGTGTGTACATATCTATGTGTGTATGTGTCAATTCGACATATATCGTGGTATAGTTGTATACGAACTTAAAAGAAGAACACTATTGATACGACTGCAAACTGCACAACCCTTATGTTTAAACCACTGGCCTCTGTCCGCTCCATGTGCCTCTTGAGCTTGGCCTCCATTAGAGTTAAGGCTGAGATCGGGGACTTCTCTGCATCCGCCCAGAGAACCCGATACCCCTTAATTCAGGAATATACCTTAAATTATAATATTAAGGCCCCTATAATT